CTCCCCACCATTGAGTTTCAGCAGCAGCATTGAGTAGTTTTGTGCTGTTACATTTTCATGAAGTGCGTCGTGGTAAATCTTACTGGTTGTGTTCAGGTCTCTTAAGTTTTTTTCTTCTTTCCTTTCTCCCCAGACTGTACAGTTCGTTCAGGGAATTTTTGTTGAAAAATATGACCCAACAATAGAGGATTCATACAGAAAGGTAAAATAACATCATTTTTATTTCTTTCAAGTCTCATAGAGCTTGCTTCTTTTTAATAGTGCAACAAAAGCTTACCAGAACGAGGAAGGGTCTTTTCTGAGCAAATGTTCTGGCTGCACAGAACCGCAGGAGGAGAGCGATGCGTGGGAAAGCATCAGTCCTGGAAATGGTTTCACGCAGATCGTCTCCTTTGGCTTGACGGAGGACTCTGCTAGCTTCGGGCCTCCGAATGCAATCAGACAAATTGTATCAGCTGCTATAAAACCAAATTACCAGGGAATGACAAATTTTGCTGTTAATTGGACCACTCCCTAATTTAGTTCTATTTGGCAGGAGGATTAAGCCTCAGTTACTACCTACGAGCTTTCGCTGCAAATCTCCGATGGCCCGGTTTGAGGCCGCAGCTCTCCGCTCTTCGCCTGTTTCTTCGTTAGAGCTTCCTACCCCTGCCCAGAGACCAGCCCGCTGTGCTTCCCTCACCCACAACCAATTTCCACTGGTGCTGGGGTACGAGCTGTGGCGCTTGGCAGAAAAGTGCACTGCCCATCCTCCTGCCAGTGCTTCTGCCCGATGGCTGGGGGTGGGAGCAGCCCAACCAAACCAGCATCAGGCTCTTACTCAGATCTGTTTGCTGCCGTTTGGCACACAATTATTACTTGGAAACATAAAGATCCCAGTATTTGGTGTGTGTATGCTCTCTGGTAGAGAGGACCTACACACCGTTCATCACGGTGGGTTGTGTTACTGGAGCATAGCGATGGCGTTTGGTTGTTTTCTTTCAGGAATGGCTGGTTTGCCTGTTAGTTCAAATGCATTCGGCTTGCTTTGAAGGCATGTAAAATTCTTTACAGTCGTTTTGGATGCAGGCTCGCGATTTCTGAGCAGAAGTCCTTGTCAGGATCCCTGACACTGTCGTGCTAACGTCATTCTGTCAACAGAGCGGCTTTCTTCACTCGATTGATGTCAATAACCCATTGTTTTGCAGATTAGCATAAGTGTTACCATAATTAAAGGCACCAAAACAGAAAACAAAAACTCCAAACGTTTGTGCCTGTGATAATTTAGTGTAAATTGCCGTATGAGTTCTGCTGTTAAATTTATTTGACTTTCCTGGAATTACCCTCATTGGATCTGAGACATTTCTCAGTGAGTGGAAGACTTGCTAAGCCTAACTGTGAGGATCACTAAATATTTTGCTTTTTCTTTTCTTCCTTACTCCCTTCTCTCCCAGCAGCAAAGCAAAATTGAAGCGTAAAGCTCTTTGATTTGTGAGAGTGGATTTTATCTCACTTAAGATGTTTACAATGAGCTGCTCATTTAGGCCTTTATCATCAACAGAGTCCTGGAGCATAAGTGAGCTGACCCAAATGCCTGGCTCGGGGCGTAATTAATCCTCTAACAGCGGTGCCTCTCTTAGCATTGGGGAATTGCAGGTGGCTGGCTTGCTTAGAGAGGCCTTTGCGGCAGAAGTAAAAATTAAGCCAATGCTCCTCTTGCCTGTCCCATTTCAGACTTTTCCGTTTTAACTACATTTGTCTCTTCCCTTTTTTCCCCAGCAAGTGGAAGTAGACTGTCAACAGTGTATGCTTGAAATCCTCGATACTGCAGGGACAGTAAGTATGATGTCTTTTTCTGTTGGCTCTGGAGTTTCTTTGTTAAGAATGAGGCGAGATGTTAAGAGCAGAACTTGTACAATAATCCTGCCCGAGCAAAACCAATAGGTCAGCTGCAGTTTTGTTAAATAACCCAAAACCCAGTGTGGTGAATGAGCCTTCTGCAGCCCTGCCAGCAGCGTTGTGAACCCCTCGCCCAGCCGGTGCCCCGGTGCTGGGACACAGAGGTTGGTGCATCCCGTGCCACTCGCCTCTGCTCTGCCATCCACCATCGTCTGGCTGCCGACACCGGATAATTTTATGTGTTCATTTTGCAAGTGGCCAAAATACACAGACAAGAAAGGCTGAGGTTTCAAGCAGCAGGCTCTTTACTAAAATAAAGGTAAGATACAAAGGTGGAAGGGAGGAGGAGGAGGACTCGGCGCTAAGGCGGCACCGTTCTGTAGCTAATTGCGGGCACAGTTTGATGCATCGAAACATTGCGGCTGCATCTTTTAAAACCAAGCCAGCAATGCCTTGCTGTTGCAGCCTCTTGTACTACATATTCATTGAGAAGGCTCATCCCCCTAGGGCTTCTCCCCAAACGGGTCTGAAGGGAGCAGTTTCCCCTTCCTGTGGGGAGGGGAGTAGATACATCCATGTGGATTGAAGCCACTTCCAGGCAATGCATAGGGATCGCCTCCCAGCACATCACATCAGCCCACCTGAGAGGATTCAATCCGTAAAGATTCTGTACCTGTCCAGGAATGCTCCTCTTCCCAGGCGCTGCTTTGGGAGGCCCCGTGTCGTCCTTCCAGCCTGAGAGCGGCCGGGGCTGCGCAGCAGCTCCCTTGGCCATGCCAGTGTCGCTGCCATGCAAAGTCCTGTCCCTGAGTAAACAGACGTTGGAATGGTTGAGTGCACATCACAGGGGAGGACACGGCCTCCTAACAGTTAGCTTTACTTAGAAAGCTTTGAAAATTATCAACAGCAATACGGAGGCGTGGAAGCAGGAATCATTGTTACGCGGTTCTGGTAAAGCTTCCTTTCACAGGCGTGGACAAAAGGCAGCTCTGAGCTGGTACAGATTTTCCAGCCTGCTCTTGCATTTCATTGCATTGAACCTTTAAGCCGTTTTCATGCTAGAGATGACTGTTGTATAATTGTGTATGTTCAGAGGTGATCAGGCAGTGCCTTCCCACGGAGTCGTGCTCGCAATAAATCGTGCGTGTGTGACACCTAGGCCTGTTGCAATATCATGTTAGAGGAGAAATTGAATTTCCAGCCCATATCTCTTGTCTGGGGACTTGTTCTGATGGCAGACGCGTGCTTAACACCGTGCCAGAAAATAAATGAAAGACCACTTCAAAATATGTCAGCCAAATCTTAACACCTTGTATTATGGTTTGGGGCATACAACTGTCTGCAGATACATTTTTATTGCTGCTCTTGATCTTCCTCTGTTTTTTCAAATAGCCTCTTTCTCTATTAGGGGAAAAACAACAAAGGCAGAGAGATGTGTTAATGCTTTTATTAAATCTGCATGCTTCAGTGGATTTCTGTAAGGGGTAGAAATGTAAATGTATGCTGTACGGTGCTATATGCTTGTCTCCATTGCAATAAAAGTATTCCTTTGTAAATGTTCATTTGCTGCCTTCACTAGCTAATTCCTTTTAAAACTATTTGATTACAGGAGCAATTTACAGCGATGAGGGATCTCTATATGAAGAATGGTCAAGGGTTTGCACTAGTATATTCTATAACAGCACAGTCCACGTTTAACGACTTACAGGACCTGCGGGAACAGATTTTACGGGTTAAGGACACTGAAGATGTAAGTAGAATGTCTTTTCTTCTGCAAATGGTTAAAACGTGTTTGTAAGTAAACACTGGGATTTGTGACCAAATTCCTTTCTAAGAGTATTCTTTGCTGTATGGCAAAGTTTTGTGTTGAAGTAAGTTTTCTTAGCATTGTTTGTTATTTTTGGTGGCGTTATCTGAGGGCCAGCACCTGCTAAGGGGCATAATGAAACCAGATTCTCACCTGTACTGGAAGGCCAGCAGTCTTGGGAGCTGGCAGGAGCTGATTGAAAACAACATTTTTTTTTTTTTCTCCTTTTAACTCCTTTCCAGTATTTGCATTGTCTTTCATTGTGCTTTGGCAGTACTTTATTTCCCTCAAAGTTAAGGAAAAATAATCGTTGAACTCCCCAGTAATGATGTTCCTAGATCTGCAGGTGTCTTACAGTGGAGACGGACATTGCTTTTCCCCATGTACGAAGCCAGAAGTGACGTACAAGGCCGTGACGTTTCCCGCGGGGCGGTGGTGCCCCCTGTGCCCTTTGCACGCCTGCGGGTCATGGTCCAAGTTCATCAACTTGGACTGCAAATAGAAAGGGCATGTTCAGCCTATTGGCCAACCTCTGCTTTGTAATTTAAGTGTCGTTAGTATTGATAGCCTTTTTTGGGGAAACGGCTGAACGTTCCTTTATTTTCATTTCTCGGTGTGAGAGGGCGGGGGGGCGGGGGTGGGATGGGAGCCTGCTCGGTCACCTCTGCTCTGGCTGCTGGCGCTGTTTGCTGGATTACATTCTCCTGGGTGCTCCTGGGTCTCGTTGCACGAAGCAGGGATTCCCTTTCTGTAGCTGTGCAGCGTCTCTTGGTGTGCGAGCTTTGCTTCCCTCGAACCCCTCAGCTGTGAGAGCCCATCAGCCTTCTCTCAAATTGTCCTTTTACAGGATTTTAGGTTATGGTATGAAAATGTGCTTGTCCCTTTGTGAAGGAGAGGAGGAGGAGGGTGTTCCGGGGCTGTGGCTGGGGTCTGTCACGCCGTGACCCCCGTCTGAACAGGGAGGGTTCAGCGTGGGCTGTGCCCGTCCCTGTGGATGGCAGTGGCTCTCCGCAGCCCGCCCGGGGCTTTTAAACCCTCGGCAGTTTTCTTTGTTCTCTCTGTCGTTTGACAAAATCTGTAACCCAAAGGAGATCATGCAGCTGAATGAGTTAAATCATCAAGAGACTCTAGAAGAGTCTTCGCTAGTGATGCAAGGTTGTCGTTTTGGTTGTTTAAAGCCCTTTTTAAAATAAGGAAAAATGACGTTAAGGTATTTTGCATTCAGTCCTGTTTGACAGAAGAATCATAGAATCATAGAATGTTTTGGGTTGGAAAGGACCCCTAGAGGTCATCTAGTCCAACCCCCCTGCAGTGAGCAGGGACACCGCTAACTAGATCAGGTTGCTCAGAGCCCCGTCCAAC